AAACGACATAGGTAAGGTTAGGAGTGAGGAACTTTTCAAGAGGTATAAGGAGGCGCTGGGGAAGATTAGAGATAGGGGAGGGATCCCGATAGTATGTGGTGTCTTGCCTAGAAGAGGGGTTGGTCGTGAATGGCTGTCCAGGGCAATTGCTATAAATTGCCAACTGGAAAAACATTGTGCAAACAATGGTTGGGCATTCATTGATAACTGGCAACAATTCTATGGCAACGACTACCTGTACAGACGTGACGGAGTACACTTGTCTCGTGAGGGGGTAAAGACGTTGTCTGCATCCCTGGAGCGTGAAATTGTCACTCCGAAAGGGGGGGTTTTGCCAGTAGAGAGAGGTCGGGGAAAGTGGGAGTCAAATAACAAGCAGGTCCTGGGAAGTAAAATTAGTTGCTCAGGACAAGGGGTAAAACAGGACCAGGGAAGGGTAGGTTTAAATGTATACTATACAAACAGTAGGAGCGTTAGAAATAAAATAGACTTGCTGAGAGCGATTGCATGTACCGAGAATGTATACGTCATAGCAATCACTGAAACTTAGATGAATCTGGCGAGCCAAATATTTTTATCAGAGTACCACATAGAAGGGTACAATCTTTTTCACAAGGACAGGGAAGGTAGGAAGGGGGGAGGGGTCGCACTCTTCGTCAAGGATACATTAAAATGTTGTATTAATAATTCAATAAAAGGTGAAATAGGAACCGAGTCTGTGTGGGTAGAAATCACGGAAGGAAGAGAAAAACTAATTATGGGAGTGATTTACAGGTCCCCAAGTCTTGGCAAAGAAGCAGCTCAGCCCATATGGCAGGAAATGAGTAGGGCAGCAAAATATAACAACCTATGCATTATGGGTGATTTCAACTTCAGAAATATTGACTGGGACAACATTGTAGGCGACTATGAATCTGAAGACTTCCTAGATGCAGTACAGGACAATTTTTTGAAACAACTAATTACAGAACCTACAAGAGGTGACAATATATTAGACCTAGTATTAACAAATAAAGAAAATATTATCAGAGATATCACAGTAGGGGAAGAACTAGGTAACAGTGATCACAGAGAAATCAGGTTCACCCTAAATTGGGAAACGAAAAACAATGACAATATGGTCAGAGTCCCAAACTTTCGGTTGGCGGATTATCAGGGGTTAAGAAGGTACCTAGGTGAGGTCACCTGGGAACAGTCACGTCAGTCCCCAGTAGGAAGGGGTGAGTTCATAGATGACACAACAATTGATCATGACTATAATATAATCACTAGTATACTAAATAAAGCACAAGAACAAAATATACCATACAGAAAAATTAGGTCAAATAAGAATGAGCCAAGGTGGATGACCAGAAAACTTAAACATGACATAGGAATAAAGAAAGGAATATATAAGAAATTAAAGGGAGGGGAGGAGCAACTCAGAAATAGGTATAATGAACTATCTAAAAATCTTAAGAAAAATGTAAGGAAAGCAAAGAGAGACTATGAAATCAAAATAGCAAGAGAATCCAAGGCGAATCCCAAGGGACTTTTCCAGGTATATAGGACAAAGGTCAAGGACAAAGTTGGGCCTTTAAAGTCAGGGAGGGGAGAAGTGATAAATGGTAGTGAAGAAATAAGCAAAGCATTAAACAGCTACTTCTTATCAGTTTTCACAGAAGAAATTTGCAATGAAATTCCAGAGGTGGAACTGATATTTAAGGGAAAGGAAGAAGAGAAATTAAAGAATATCACTATCAGGAAAGAGGATGTTCTTAAGAAGATAAATACACTAAAGAAAACAAAATCCCCAGGGCCGGATGAAATTTTCCCTCGGGTCTTGAAAGAGTGTAGGGAACAGATTAGCGGACCCCTCGTAAACTTATTTACAAAATCATTAGACACTGGAGTTGTGCCAGACTTGTGGAAACAGGCAACTGTAGTACCCATATTCAAAAAGGGAGACAGAGCATCAGCGTCAAATAACCGGCCGATCAGTTTGACGTCAGTAGTGGGGAAATTTCTTGAATCAATTATAGCAGATAGCATCCGATCACATCTAGAGAAAAGCAAATTAATCTACGACTCTCAACATGGGTTTACAAAGGGAAAATCTTGTCTAACAAATCTGCTAACGTTTTTTAGGAAAGTCTTCGAGGTAGTACATAATGACGAAAATTACGATGTTATTTACTTAGACTTTAGCAAAGCATATGACAGAGTACCGCATCAGAGGCTTCTGAGAAAAATTAAGGCTCATGGTATCGAGGGGAAAGTTCTAAATTGGATAAAATCATGGCTCACCGATAGAACGCAGAGGGTCAGCGTAGATGGTGTTAAATCTGAGTGGGGCCGTGTAACCAGTGGGGTTCCCCAGGGGTCAGTACTAGGCCCACTCCTGTTCATAATCTACATAAACGATCTAGATACTGGGATCAGCAGTGACATAAGCAAGTTTGCGGATGACACCAAAATAGGGCGGCAAATTAATTCAGGGCAGGATGCAAATGCATTACAGGAGGATCTAAATAAACTGCAGGGGTGGTCTGAAAAATGGCAAATGAAATTCAACACCAGCAAGTGCAGCGTACTTAATATTGGAAGGACAAATACTTATAATGTATACAGCCTTAACAACATCAACCTAGAGAAGTCAACTTGTGAAAGAGACCTAGGGGTACTTGTAAGCCCGGACCTACGGCCTAGAAAACAGTGCGTTAATGTTCGAAATAAGGCAAACAGAGGATTGGGTTTTATATCTAGAAGTGTAAGTAACAAGAGTGCAGAGGTCTTATTGCAACTATATCTTGCGCTAGTCAAGCCGCACCTCGATTATGCGGTTCAGTTCTGGTGCTCCTATTATAGAATGGATATAAATTCACTAGAGTCGGTGCAGCGAAGAATGACAAAAATGATTCCGGGACTTAGAAACCTTCCATATCAGGATAGGTTAAAGAAACTTAACTTGCATTCCCTAGAAAGACGAAGAGTGCGGGGAGATATGATAGAAGTATTTAAGTGGGTGAAAGGAATCAATAAAGGGGATATAGATAAAGTTCTTATAATATCCGAGCAGGATAGGACTCGGAGCAACGGATTCAAGTTGGATAAGTTTAGGTTTAGGAGGGAGATAGGAAGAAACGGGTTCACAAATAGGGTGGTGGACGAGTGGAACAAGCATAGCAACTATGTAGTAAGTGAGGGAACTCTGGAAAGTTTCAAAAGGAGGCTAGATAGATTCATGGATGATAGATAGTGGTAGTAACTCTCGACAGGAGCTGCCATGTACACGTCAACCGGCCTATTGCAGACTCCTTATTATCTTATGTTCTTATGTTCTAAACTGTGGAATGCTCTGCCTTCTTCTGTATTTCCATGCTCTTACAATGTCTCACTTTAAAAAGCTGGTTTTCCGTCATCTTCGTTGTGTAGATTAATACAGTATAACCTTTTTTTTTTTACAATTTCTTTCCGTTCTTTTTTTTCTCGCCCCCCAGGCTCCGTTGTGGGTCGTTTGACCTGTGCCCGGATGGGCTAATTCCCTTAAAAAAAATCCACACTGCTCTTAACGGACTATGTGGCAAACGCATACTATAAGTATGTAACTTGTAACGTATACTATAAGTACCAGGCAGAATATTAGTGTGCTGCAACTGTGACATATTCTAACGCAGTAATTATCGCTTTAATAACTGTGAGGAAGTATGGTAACACAGGGTATATTTATGAAGCAGTTTAGTAACGCTTCTATAACATTGAAAACTATAATACTACATGCTAAACTATGAAGTGTACTTACTCATAAAGTCTTATACTGTAACTCTGAGGAAGTGTATTGACACACAATTCAACTAAGAGGAACGCACTGACGCGTGTAGTAACCTTGGAACTGGAGGAAAACACCAGGTGCGTTGCCACAACGTGTTTTCATGACACAGTGATTGGACTGAGAACTGTGTCACAAAGGTGAATATCAACAAAACCATGACGTAATCTTCAGACATGGAGTAGACCAGTGCCACAGTATGTTGATGTAATGACAAGGGAATATTATGATGATGCAAAACATGTGTAGTACAATTATGAAATAAGACCTTGGATTCTAATGTAGTCACATACTGTAAAATAGCCTAGTTAATTAGTGTATTGTTTTATAAACACAAGCACCGTCTTTGTCACAAGCAATATTACATATAACAAGCATAAGATGTATTACTGAGTTATAAAACCCAAGGTCCTCAACTACACCAGTCATCAACACATACATATTAAGATATACTCGTATACATAACTGGTTTAGCGTTAATAAAATTACCAACATATATGTACACCCTCAGTACCTTCACACATGTGTACATCCTCAGCACCTCCACACATGTGTACATCCTCAGCACCTCCACATAGAACAGTTAGATAAAACTACTTTTTCAAATGGCCTCATACGCACGGCAAAGAATGTAACAGCTTAATTTAATACACCATATACCGGCATAATCACAAATTAAATTGGATAACCATTCTTTGGGATAATAATACTTTCACTGTTTGAATCATATAGATATACAAGGTTAACATTGTACAGGTAAATAGTTTCCCATGTTCCGTGGACTCGATTATTCCAGCTCCGTATCACTGATCTATATAGATAATTCATTACCTGGTATGTAAACTTTAAGAAAATCTGAATAATTAACAAATATATGGCAACTAATACAATTTTAACACGCTTTAATTGGTTCTGACTGATGTTTCTAGCAGCGTTTGGCAACTTTAATTAGCTCTTGCCAAACGTTGTCACTATTGTTTATTATTTTTATTTATATAGTTCTTCACAGATTTGGTTTGTAGAGGTAAACTTCAGTAATAATAAGTATTAATAAAATTTACTGCGAGAAATTAAAATCTACATCAAAACAGTGCTTCACAGTTTCTTATGATTACTATAAATCATAGGCGTTGGCAACGACCAACGGAAAACGAACGCACAGGTGTCCTCGACAACCAGTAGTGACCTAGCGAGTACCCTACGGTACGACGTATGAGATACAGTCGAGAAGTTCAGCCCTCAGTATTCCGGGCCTGTTGAAGTCAGTAATGCGTGTTTGTGTCTGCTATACCTAGTGCAAACGTTTTGTGATTCGTAAATACTTGTCCATATACATATTAATGTGCCTCGCCAGCTTCTTGTGACAATAAGTTAGTCAAAACAATAACGAGGATTGCTTAACAAGGTAAGGCCGGCTTGTTTTTGTTGCTTATGGTGAAAAAGGCATTGGCTCCATGGCTAGTCGAAATGTACCGTGGCACAATCGATCAGAATGCCAATTTAACTTTTTTCTTATACAGTACGTGGTATGTGGCTAAAACATCCTTTCATTCCTCTCAAACCAGACAAGTTCCTACACTTAAGAATATTTTGACTGCCCTATCGTAATGAATTTGTCCCGTTAGTTCGGTCCCTCAACCTTCTAAATATTAATGTTGTTTTCAAGTATGACTCAACCATTACCAATATGTTAATAAGGAATAGCCCAAGTTTGAATGTAAATGGAAGTGTTTATTGTATTCCATGTAGCAAATGTAATTGTAATTATGTAGGTCAGACAGGAAAAACACTACAGCTCAGAATCAAACAACATAAGTATAATATCAGAACTGCATCTGAAAGCAGTGCCTTGTTCGTTCATGTTAGGAATAATAATCACCCCATTGCTTGGGAAAAAAGCTTAGAAGTATTCAAATCATCTTGTGTCACAGAAAGCTTCTGGTTGAAGCTAGTTTGATTAAGGAATTAAAATCAATAAACCTTAGTGATGGTCAGTTCAAAACTGATAATATGTTACATAAATTTATTTGTCAGTGGCCCAAGGTTAAAAATGCTTTGAAAACCTTTGATCTAGATGTATGATAGTTATTTTGTGGGTCCCTTTTTTCTGACCTGACCTGGCTAGTCACGTCACCACCCTTCTCTTAAGCTCCTCTACGTGTGTGTTGGTGTGGGGATTAGTGGATGTCATCATTATGACCTGACCTCATGTTTTTAGGTCACCCTGTATATTTAAGCCTCTCTCTGTCCATGTAATCCAGTTGCCTCTGAAGATGTCTTGAATAAAGACGAAAGCTAAGGTACTCCGTTGTTTCCATTTTCCCGTGTGATTTTATCAAGATTTATCTTATCCACGTTTTCATTGTGGATTTACATGAAATATATATATATATATATATATGCAAGTAAATCACTGTAGTTGCGCGTGATCCAGGTGTATGCTGATAATCACAAGGAAAGAAGAAAACACGAAGTTCCCAAGCGCTTGGGAACTTCGTGTTTTCTTCTTTCCTTGTGGTTATCAGCATATATATATATATATATCTTGATACAATCACACGGGGAAAAAGGAAACAACGGAGCACCTTAGCTTTTGTCTTTATTCAAGACATCTTCAGAGGCAACTGGATTACATGGACAGAGAGGGGCTTAAATATACAGGGTGAACTTATTAAACATGAGGTCAGGTCATAATGATGTCATCCACTAATCCCAACACCAACACACACGTAAAGGAGCTTAAGAGAAAGGGGGGCGACGTGACTAGTCAGGCCAGGTCAAAAATAAGGGACCCACTAAATAACTATCCTACATTTATGTAACATATTATCAGTTTTGTACTGACCATCACTAAGGTTTATTGATTTTAATTCCTTAATCAAACTAGCTTCAACCATAAGTCTTTCTGTGACGCAAGATGATTTGAATACTAAATAGCTTTTTTCCCAAGCAATGGGATGATTATTATTCCTAACATGAACGAACAGGGCACTCCTTTCAGATTCTGTTCTGATATTGTACTAATGTTGTTTGATTCTGAGCTGCAATGTTTTTCCTGTCTGTCCTACATAATTACCATTACATTTGCTACATGGAATACAATAAACACTTCCATTTACATTCAAAGTTGAGCTATTTTTTATTAAAATATTGGTAATGGTTGAGTCATACTTGAAAACAACATTAATATATAGTAATTTAAGAGACCGAACTAACGGGACAAATTCATTGCGATAAGGCAGATTCAAAATATTCTTAAGTGTAGGAATTTGCTTGGTTAGAGTTGAATGAAAGGATTTTTTTTGCCTTTTCAAAACAATGATCAACAAACACTGAACGGTACCCAAGTTTTTGTGCAAGTTGAATGAAAGGATTTTTTTTGCCTTTTCAAAACAATGATCAACAAACACTGAACGGTACCCAAGTTTTTGTGCAATGGAACGAATGTGTTTCAAACCTTCATCAATAAATTCAGCGTCACAAATACGCAAACATCTGAATATGATACTTAGGACAAGATCATTAAGCTTGTCTAAAAATTCCAATGGGTCCCTGTTTCTAGGCCAAAGACAAAGAACATCATCTACATCATGGATGAATAAAGTCCCCTATATTGGGTAGTAATCTAGCCTAAAAAAACTCCATATAAATACAGGCTAGAGGAGCAGAAAGACAGTTACCCACGCTCATGCCAAATATTTGCTTGTAAACTTCCCATTTGCTCTAAACACATTGTCAGTTACGCATAACTCTATCAATTCGAGAAAGGTATCATGTTCAATAGTTAAATCTAACAGTTGTAATTTATCTTTAAGAAATGAAAGTAGGTCTTTCACAGGTACAATCAAGCATTCTCTGAGTTGGATAAAGTGCTGCTGGACTCCCTTATCAAGAGTTCAAGTGATAGTGTAAAATTGGCTTTTAAGCACAGTGGTCAGTGTAAAATACTTATGCAAAACAGTGTTTGTGTTGATAAGTGGCATATCAATCGTGATTTTGTATATCAACTTCTTAGTGAAAGTGACAAAGCCCAAAAAAGAAAGTTATGCGTAACCGACAATGTGTTTAGAGCAAATGGGAAGTTTTACATATAGCATCATCCATCATCACTACATATAGCACCATCGAGCATCACTACATATAGCACCACCATCACTACTACCACCATCATCACTACCACCACTATTACCACGATCATCATTACCACCACCATCATTACTACTACTATCAACCAGTCTCTACCACCACCACTATCACCTCAAACATGCCTCTATCACCATCACCACCACTACCACTTTTTTCCGATTTTGTCCTGAACATGAATTACGTCTCCTCGTTAGCCCCAACTGTTCATGCGAGCGGTGTAAAACGAAGGTTTCTTAAGACATTAACGCCTCCGCTCCATACACAAGAAAAAACTGTAAATTTTGAACTTATTTGTAAAGATGATTATAAATTATTACTTAAATTAATCATATATCAACAAATAGCAAGGTGTTACAGCTGTTTCCGTATTATTAGTTTGGTGATTTTTTTCTGGGCAGCATTTCATACCCGAACTGTGGGTCTAGGTCTGACCCGAAAGTTAACTCGGCATCTGAAAGTGCATTGACAAGAGGATAGCCTTTTGTAACTTGAACCAAGGTTACGCTCTGACGTGACCAGTTAATTAGCTATAAGTTTCCTTATTTATCTACAGTGATAACACGAGGACCTTGCATAAGGCCCCAGAAACTTTGAACGAATTATTTCAAAAGAACTTATGAGGTGCATTGACAGTCCATATTTTTTTATACATTAACTATTATTTTATTTCTGTATTTCTTCGGCTTAACATGAAAATAAGATAACAGTCGAACTCTTAATCTAACAACATTAATGGTTGCGCTAGCTTGCCGTTGCTTCTGACATTTCAGAATTAGTTAATCCCGAACTTTTTCTCAGAGAATGAGAAACTTACTCTCCATGACATATAGCCTGTGGAAGACCCCTGGGCATATTACTAACAAGTGTTGGTAAATTCAGAGTAGGCTATAAGGTGTGGTTTTACATACCCGTTTCTCATGTGAAAAGGTCGTGACCAATCTGGCGACTCCTGTAAGAACATAAGAACATAAGAACATAAGAAAATAAGGAGTCTCCAATAGGCCGGTTGGCCTGTGCATGGCAGCTCCTGTCGAGAGTTACTACCACTCTCTATCATCCATGAATCTATCTAGCCTCCTTTTGAAACTTTCCAGAGTTCCCGCACTTACTACAAAGTTGCTAAGCTTGTTCCACTCGTCCACCACCCTATTTGTGAACCAGTTTCTTCCTATCTCCCTCCTAAACCTAAACTTATCCAACTTGAATCCGTTGCTCCGAGTCCTATCCTGCTCGGATATTATAAGAACTTTATCTATATCCCCTTTATTGATTCCTTTCACCCACTTAAATACTTCTATCATATCTCCCCGCACTCTTCGTCTTTCTAGGGAATGCAAGTTAAGTTTCTTTAACCTATCCTGATATGGAAGGTTTCTAAGTCCCTGAATCATTTTTGTCATTCTTCGCTGCACCGACTCTAGTGAATTTATATCCATTCTATAATAGGGGCACCAGAACTGAACCGCATAATCGAGGTGCGGCCTAACTAGCGCAAGATATAGTTGCAATAAGACCTCTGCACTCTTGTTACTTACACTTCTAGATATAAAACCCAATACTCTGTTTGCCTTATTTCGAACATTAACGCACTGTTTTCTAGGCCGTAGGTCCGGGCTTACAAGTACCCCTAGGTCTCTTTCACAAGTCGACTTCTCTAGGTTGATGTTGTTCAGGCTGTATACATTATAAGTATTTGTTCTTCCAATATTAAGTACGCTGCACTTGCTGGTGTTGAATTTCATTTGCCATTTTTCAGACCACCCCTGCAGTTTATTTAGATCCTCCTGTAATGCATTTGCATCCTGCCCTGAATTAATTTGCCGCCCTATTTTGGTGTCATCCGCAAACTTGCTTATGTCACTGCTGATCCCAGTATCTAAATCGTTTATGTAGATTATGAACAAGAGTGGGCCTAGTACTGACCCCTGGGGAACCCCACTGGTTACACGGCCCCACTCAGATTTAACACCATCTACGCTGACCCTCTGCGTTCTATCGGTGAGCCATGATTTTATCCAATTTAAAACTTTCCCTCTCGATACCATGAGCCTTAATTTTTCTCAGAAGCCTCTGATGATGCGGTCTGTCAAATGCTTTGCTAAAGTCTAAGTAAATAACATCGTAATTTTCGTCATTACCTACTACCTCGAAGACTTTCCTAAAAAACGTTAGCAGATTTGTTAGACAAGATTTTCCCTTTGTAAACCCATGTTGAGAGTCGTAGATTAATTTGCTTTTCTCTAGATGCGATCGGATGCT